AATATATATATATATATTAGTAACTATCATGATTCACAAATCACTATAATATATAAGTATCAACATTTTTTCAACATTGATATTTATAATATTAATATATTTTTAATAATATTATCTGTAATTTGATAACACTCTCTTTCACAATATTAATATATTTCAAGAAATATGACAGAGATTAATCAAGATTATTTATTTATTTTTATACATTGATGATATTCAATCTGAGTTAGTACTAAAATTATAACTAAGCTAAGAAAGAAGATTATTTTCTCTTATAATAATTCTTCTTATACACATCAGTGATTAGTTATTGAAAATAAATTATTATCTTTCTTAAATCTTTATCATATCTTCTGAATTCACTTCTTTTACTTCTTTTACTTCTATTGAAAATTCACAAACTCTTTAAGAAATCACTATAAATTACAAAGTCTATGTTATTTACAATTTAATACAGAATACTCTCTTTTAATTATAATAAATAACAACTTCATTCTTCACATCCGATTCCAGGTTACAAAATTTATGAAAAACTCAACACAAATATCAAGATAAACTATGAAATAATTATTAACAGATTGTGTTGTAAATTACTGAAGAGTTATCTCTTTACTATAATTAATATAACTTTATTCAGAAACATTTATCATGAATTAATTATAGCTCTGAAGAAATATCTTAACATCTGAAGTCATCAGAATACAGATAATAAAAGAAAAATAATCAGATAATTACTACTAAGCTGATAAGTTACTCTATTAGATAATGATTTTTGATAATACTAACTTTCTAATTTGAAGAAAATTATATGAAAATAATTATGTATCAGTACTCTGATTTCAAAACTCTTATCTGATAACTTCTTTGAATAATTACTTTTGTAAGGGGCTACGCTGAATAGATCGGTATGATATTTATAGGTCTTATATAATAAAGTGGAAAATGTTAGAGAAGGAAAGAAAGAGAAAGTGCAGGAATCAGCAATCGGACTGGATATTTATACGTGTACGCGGTGGAGCTTCGGGGCGGAAGAATAGGATTTCCATGAGTTTTTCAGCCGAGGATCGGCGACCGAGGATCGGAGCTTTTAGCGGACCGAGGATCCGAGCTTTCGGCGGAATCTATGGAGTGCAATGGAATAGTCTATATAGTTGATCGGGCGCAGCCCGCCACAACTTTGTATATATATAGCTCTGAATCTTTCTCTTTAATCAATTGAAAACCCTGAATTCTGAACACTTCTTTAAATACTTAATTCAAATCTTCATATTCTATATTAATTCTGTCTTTAGTTCAACCTTGAGATACAGAA